TGTGTTGTTCTTGTAATAGTGTATTTAGTATTAGGGCCGGGTTTGGTGAAAAATGTTTTTGTTTGATTATTCAGTGTCGTGTTTGGTCAGTACTTGGGAGACGGTGCGACTTTAAGCCCATAAATAAATCTTGGATGAAACCCATTTGTTCTATAACCAATTATTATTAACTAACCGAGACTAATTTATATTATATTGTAACAACATATCTATTGTATTACAATTAGTGAGTTGTCAATAATAAAAAAATAATTTGGAAATAATATAAATGCTTAATAATTTTTATTACCGACTGATAGTGTGGCTTTTATGTATGGAGATAAGGCTTTTTGCAAGGGAATAGACTATTGTCTCCAAGTCAGTGCCGTTCCCAGGGTTGTTTTAAGAAGCACTGGGCATCTTTAGAATTCGTGGCCCCTAGACTTACAATACAATATCGAAATCCATAGGTATATTAGAATAGCGGTTTTTAATCTTTTTATAGGTACTCGAGTACCACCTACCCATTACATACTTGATCTAATAATCTTCTTTTGTTATCTACAAATGTATGCGTTATTTACATTTAAAAGATTATAAATAGATTATTTAAATTGCTATGAAATTTAACACATACTATTAAAGTATTTTAATAATATTAGTTTGTTGTAAAAACTTTTTTTTTCTTTTTACTTCATTAACATTGATATTATCTGAAACATATTTAAATACTAAGTCATTGCTAAAATGTCTGGAAATATTTTTATTTACACGATATTGTATATTGGTATGCGAAGCCATGGACGACGCGCGAGTGCCCCGTATGCTCTGCCCTCAGGACGGCACTGCACTTAGTTAACCCTGTTTATAGTATCTCACGTTCGTATGTCAAACCTTGCACGATCGTTTATCTTGTCCCAATAAATTATTTAGATACCTATATTATTTTAAATTGATTTTGTACAGCTTAATTTTAATACTATACTATATTATGATTTGACATAAAATTAATCTTCGATTAGCTGTTTCTCTGCATCAGCATTAATATTTAACCACTATGGTCTGTAGGGTTAGGTTACATATATGTTTATATGTATAGTATGTAAGAATGTTAAATATAATTACATTTTGTAACTCTACACCTCTGCCTATTACTTAATGACCGATGATGCTGAATTTCATGAAAATAAAATGATGTTCGATAACGTGTGTTGTATATTACTATAGCTGAACTGGAGAATTAATTAAAATACAGCGAAATAAGTGCATACCTACATTACGTAATTTCTTAAAATATGCAATGTGCCAATGAAATATTAATATTAATTTTTTTTTTTTTTCATAATACGCATCATTAAGTAGGTAAGAGAGTTTAAAGCTTAAAATTTAAGCTACAAATATGCAATAATATAAAAAATTACCATCATAATCAACAATAATGTATTTAATTTATGGGTTAAATACTTTAGATTTGAGATTATGAAATTAATGAATATTAATCGGTTTTTAAAGATTCTGGAAAAAGGGAGGAATAAAGAAAAATTATCAATAATTTAAAGTTACATGCAACACCTCTTCAGATTGATATATAAATGTGTGGTACTTTTAAAAGTTAGTTTCTGCATTTTTCAGTAGTTGCGGAGAAGATGATGAAATACAGTAAGAAAAGAAAGTAAAGTTTGTATGAGTGAGTGTGGACACATTTTTTTAATACAATTTTTTAAATGAGCCACGTACGCAAAAACTTGTTTTTTGAGAGTTTAAATATGTATGTAAATACTGTATACTTAGCAGGAACAACGTCCTGATCATACTTTTTGTATCTTTTTGATTTATTAATATTAATTTAAATATTTCAGTAATTTTTTCTTGATTTTTAAACAAAATGCTGCTGTAAAAGTATTTATAAAATATTATAAAATATGCTCAATAACTTAGAATGTACCTACACATTTTTATTTGTTTTTTATTATGAATAATGAAATAAATATACATTAAATTCAATTTTGAATAGAAAAATATGTAAATATATCAATCCACAAGTACTGCAAGTGATGTATTATATAACAACTATTAAATAGTGATAAATATCTGTATAATATTGTGGTTTTTATATAAAGGTTTCACATTATATTAAAACTGAGTTTGTTATATTGATATATATATCATGATATAATATAATACTACTGTAATACAAATAAATATTACATATAATGGCACTAATTTAGACAAGTAATTTGATAAATATTGTTACAGTAGTTTGGGTAAAGAGGACTTCTATTTGAATATTATGATAAATACAGTAAAATTGTGGCCTATTATTATTGCCTAGTGCTTTATATTTTCTCTTCACGTTCATAGTATTCTCCTCAAATATGGGCTATGTAGTTCGCTAAATATTAGTATCCCCAGGTAAGTCTGAAATCCCCATTCATCCCTGGATATACATAATCATACATATTGCCAATAATCGTGGGCTTCCGTTATCACGACACATTCTTTCAAACAGTCGTCTAAGTATAATAATCTATGTTGTATATTATATTATGTATTATTGTACTCAAAGTGTGCAAACCATCAAAACAGACGAACAACCACGCAGTTCGTTGGATTCGCGCGTTTACCTTTATTTTTCTCAAACTCGTCGTCGCTCGCTCATCCGGTCGATTTCTGTCCGCAAAAAATCGAATGCACGCCGTGCAAAGCTTATCACTATATAAATTATTTATATATTTTGTGGTTAAAGTTATTGGTTAGCTTAAGTATGACTTTAATGTTATGTTATTACTGGTATTACGACGTTGACGTTATGTTTTAACTACTAGAAAATAATATTATGACGGCAAAACAATTTACAATTGTATTTCACAGCATCTAATGCGACTAATTTAATAACATGATAATAACCGACCGCGACGGCACAGCAATACCGACACCGTCTGGAACAACACTTCACTCGGTATATTGTAGCAACGGCAGAGGCGGCAGTGGCGGCGGCGGTAGCGACGACGACGGCGACGACTGCCGATCGATCGACATTTTGTGTTTTGCACACACGCGGCCGAATCGCAGCGACAACAAACAAAAAAAAAAAAAAAGAGAGAAAAAAGCGAACATCACAATAATATATTAAATACATACACTACACGGGCGTATATATATAATATTTTATGCCTAACAGCTATCGCTACTGACTGTGCGGTACGTTCATATTAGCGACGACCATAATCAATGTATCATTAATATTATATTGTGACACATATTTTATGATATTTTGGCAGAGAAGATTAATGCAATTCGCCTGGAGGCGGAGAAAAATTATTGTACCTCAGAGTTTAAGTTGTTGAGTTTTAGGTGTCCAAGTACTGATTTCTTTCAAGTACCTATGTAGAAACAAAACTCATCCCGCTGATTCCTCTCCGCAAAAACCCAGTAGGATAAACGCTTATAGAAATTTATGTTTATGCATTTTTATTGTATACTGTTACATTCAATAGTAACGAGGTTTTTTCATTAATATTGTAAATAGAATTGTACTATTATAGCATATTATGGTCAGGTGTAATAACTTTTGGCAGAGAAATTGAAAGTGTTTTTATTTTAACAGTAATACTAATCAATTATTATATGTAAATATGTACAAAAATACGGAAACAGAAAGGTGAAAGACTAGAACGTACTTGTTGTAATAGTATAATATATTACTATTATTTAAAGAATGTATCATTTTTCTCGATCGTCGTTCGGTGAGGTGACTTTTTTTGAAAATAGTAACCTATTCTATCCTACGCAGTCAATTGCACACGCCTATATGTATGTATGTAGGTATGCATGCATGCATGTGTGTAATAAATGTATATAACATTATATAACTATATAAGTATGTGTGTGCACACTTTTAAAGTAGATAAGCATATATTATTTGTAAACAAATGGGCATGGTCAAAACAGAAAATGTACACGCCTAATATGTTTAGATTTTGTAGCACCAAGTAAAATAAAAGTACAACTGCAAAATCACGGATATCACAAGCAGCCAAATAATCATAGAGTAAAGATCCTCATTATTAGTGAATAAGCCTTGTCAAAATTAGCAGGTTACCGTGAAAACATTAGCTATTAAATGGAGAATTCGTGGAACGAAAAAGGAAAATATATCTACGTATAAACTTGTGGTATAAAGTACATATTTTATACCATAATTATTGTTGTTGTCCATTTAGGTAATGTGGATTTCATCGTTTCAACAACAATTATTATAATATAAAAACTCGATACACGCAACTGATATTTACCTACTCATGTATACAATTAATATTATGGCATCGGGTTTTTTGACGCGGAAACGTTCTGATCACTTCCACCACCATAAATTCAAACGTTTCTCGTATACACGTATACAACCACTTTTTCTCCCTCGAATCTAACGCATCATAGCCACCGCCAATTATGCGCTACCACCAACAAACATTAACCCGCGTTTGACCTCGTGCGTGACCTACATTCTAGGGGTGTGCCTTACTCTAGCGTGGCGTGGCGTTGCGGCCACGGGAATCGCATCAGCGGTCACGGTTGTGTCGACGAGACGAAATAATGTGACAAAAATGTTAACGAGGAGGTATTGTAACAGTATTTATCCATTTGTACGCGTAGCATTTTTTTTAACAAGAGGGAAAATTTTCTGTTTTCCTCATTTTTTTTTTTTTTTTTTTGCATATATTATACCACTCTCAATGCACTCGTGAAAAATCAATAGATTTCGTCGTTCTCAGCCCCTCCATGCGTTTCGCGTGGTTGGGCGACGAGGTAAACGCAATAAATGGGTCATACTCCGCGACTATAGGTACACGATATTATATTATTCGTGAGTAAACACGCGCTTCAGCACGCGCCTTCAAAACGACTCACTATCACACACAAACACACACACACACACACTTATAGACACACACTAACGTCACGATATATTATATGTACACGATGACTAGATCGCCACGATCGCCGTGACCGGGATGACTTACCCGCGTTGTCGTGTCCAATTTTCAACGGCCGTGTGCGTCGTCGCCCGAGCCCCGCTCGATTTTCCCGCGGCGCGATGGACTCTCGCGGAGGTCGGTGGTCCCGTGCGACTGTGTGTATGGAGGTAGGTTGTGATCTAAGGCGTATACGTACGCACGTCGTGTGTTTCCCGACCCGATCCGCACACACGTAAGACGGATACAGTGTCTCACTCAATGACGAACCGCGCGCGCACGGCCCTCGCGTACACCGCCACTAACTACTAATAATGGGTCCGTCCCTGCAGGACGTGCGCGGTGGACCTCTCTCGGTGTGCGGCGGCGTCCGTGCCGACAGCGATCCGTCCGTAAACCGTTACGACTTGCAGTGGGCGACAGACAGACAGGATAGCAGCGATGGTGGCGTGTCTCCGGTCGCTCCGTTTTTCAGTCCATTGCCGTCGCGGCGTCCGTGCGTGTGCCTGTACAGTCCAAGTCGGAGTCGTCGGAGTTGGTGTGGTATAGTCCGCAGGGGCGGGGGGCACGTCGCGGTTTGACGGCGTGTAAAGCTCGTCGCAATATGGCGACGACCGTGAGAGACTGGACCAGCGGAGCGGTCGGCCGCCTGGCGCGCGCGCGATCGATAAAGGAAACGCCGCCGTGTACGCGCAACGGTCGGCGCACGCGATAGGTCTGCGCGCCCACCGCCGTAGAAAGTCTTACGCCCCTGACCCCCTGAACCCCCACGCATTTTCACACTCCCGTCCATCAGCCACGACCACGCACCCCCGACTACCCCGTTCGTAAAACACCCCTCGCCATCCGCCTCAACCACGCCATTCGCCTACACGTTTACCGCCGCCTTCGAAAACTGCGTGTGTGTGCGTGTGAGTGTGTGTGTGAGTGTGAGTGTGTGTGTGTGTATGAGTTTTTATTCTTCCCCGCGCCATGCCCATCCCTCTGCCAGCAGCACGTAGATACCGGCCCACGCCACCAGCAGTTGCGAGACGCTAAGTCTCTGGTCGACGAAGTCGTCTCCCGCCGAGGAGAGATACCGTCCCAGCCGCGGCAGAACGTCACATTGGGTGCGCTCCTCTCGCAAGGGACTTCGAATAGTGTTGGTGTCCGATAAATGTATTTTGTACGATTTAACAAAGAGTCGTAAAATACATGATAAAAACGAATAGAAAATGCTGATTTGATAGAAACAGACCAATAAAAAAAAAAATAAATAAAAATAAACACTTCTCGTTTGGATCGATTTCGTAAGCCCACTTGGAATCAAATCATATCGCGTTGTATTTTCAAACGTCAATCGATATCATATTTTTTGGTCGAATGTTCACTAATTCATATACCTACTATTTTGGAAAATTTTAATTTGGAAATTGTGCGTGATGAATACTGATCCTAAATAATCATATTTCAATTTTTGTGATTAGATACTAGATTGTATTGCTTATGTGTGATACGCATGCACAGAATTGGTAGTTAATAAGAAATGTGTACTTATACACACACATACAGTTTAGTTAGAACAAATGTTTTTTTATTCGTTATTGATAATCTATATTGACGCAATGCGCGTTGTAGAGTTAATGTCAGCGCGTGTCTTACCGACAAACACATTGTGTGACTAGCATACCCATATTTTTTTTGATTTTCATCAAAATACCGAAGATTTCCAGTCGTGGATGGCTCATAATTATTTTTTATCTCTTCTAGCTTACTGGTTTTAAAATGTTGAACATTAAGAAAAATTAATTTTCACTAATTTATTGATTATAATTAAAATTGTACCAACATTATAATATTATTGAAATGTGCAATACCAATTTATAAACTTTATAACATTTGAAGGGTTATACTTATAAATTTATAGTCAATATTATAATATAATAAAAACTAAAAAATGAATTTTTTCCATAAAGAGATAATAGGTAATACTACGATGTATTAATAGCTCTATATTCTCCGAGTGTTTATGCAGAGTATAAATCATTATCCATTGGTTAAAATTATGCTAATCGACTTTATTTTTATTCTTTGGTAAAAATAAAAGAAAGTTTTGTTTAATTTAAAGTTGAAAACCATATTGTGTTAAATTTAAAAATTGTTTTCATATTTCAATTTACTTGTTTTCATCGTTTATATATTTGTATTAAGTTTCATATATTATTTATACCTATACTCAGGTATAATACTGGAGGACGTGAAAAAAACGCAAAAATTGTTTGATCGACAGTCTAAATTTACACGAATGTGGTAAAAATGTTTTAGATAATATTCGTCGATTGAAAACATTATGGTTACTCAATCACCACGAGTGTTCTGTCTGTAAACAAAATAGCTTGCAGCAATTGCCTCGACTGTTTGTTTGTATGTTAGTTGAAACGCTTCACGGGTTTTAGAACTCACCAGATTCCGGTTATCAATGTTTTGGTGACCATTTTCCGAAAGTGTTGCCAGAAACTGCGGTAAATTTGATTGAAGTGGTCTCTATCCATATCACAATAAATGCGAATAATAAGCCATGTTCGCAGCTACGCCTTCTGTTGTACTCAAAAGTTACGCTCGTCCCAATTATGAAAAGTCTCAGGTATGTAATAACACAAAAATAAGAGAAATTAAAATAAAAAGTATAATATTCAAAATTATTATAAAAGGGTATTTTTTATGAACAATTTTCAGCTGTATTTGACCTCCAATTTAGTGTTTTCGACTTATTGACGTATAAGTTACAGTTATTAGCCGTATGTCCAGTTTT